ATTCTGAAGCTTTGTCTGACATACTTTGGACATGTTTCAAGGAGGGACCGGTCCTTGGAGAGGGACATCATACTTGGGAGGCTGGAGGAACAATGCATGAGAGGAAGACCCTCAATAAGACGGATTGATTCAGTGACTGGAGTAATGGGTGTAGGTGTGTCAGAGACAATAAGATTGACACAAATAGAGCAAGGTTTAGGGCTCTTGTACACAGAGCTATGAGTCGTAAGCAATTCAATGGCACACAACAAGTCTTCATGGGAGCAAGTGTTCTAAAACAACCTAAGATGTGAAAACAATGCCAATGCGATAATTTCTGCTGAGCAACAGAACAAAGATCTTTTCTCCTTTAGAGTGGCGATTTGTTGCTTTATGTACAATTACACCAATGAGCTGTTCCTTTGCTTCCTTGGCCCCAAAGGTGAGGGGCTCTCTCTGGGAAGAGTGGGTATTTTCCCCAGTAGGACCAGGCTTGTACTGCCACCCTTTGCCGCAGGCCTGTGGCCAGCTCCTCAGGTCCTGGTGTCTGGAGAAGGCAGCAGTCACTCGTCAGAAAACCTACACAAGGCGGGGATGCCTCCCTACGAAGAAAGCCCAGGACCTCCTGTTTACCAACACATGCCAGGTCCCTGACACAGGGGTCTCCTCCATTTCCCTTATCCATTGCTGTCGAGTGGGAACTAACTCATAGTGCTGACCGTTGGGTTTCCAAGGCTATAAATTTCATGGGAGGAAATTATCCATTTTTACCCGAGGATCCACTGGTAGACTTGAACTGTCACAGAGTCTCAACCTTTGGGTTATGAGCTCAGCTCCCTACAGACTACACCACCAGAGCTCCCACAGCAACACTCAGTTCCAAAATGTTAAGTAAGCAGCCCTTTCTGCCAGAAACTCTGTGCAGCAAGAGCCGCACCTTCCTATAGGCCTCAGGGACTTGGTGAAGAGTAGGGCTACAGGGTTGCTCACAGCTGGCTGACTCAATCATCCCTCAATCCATCTCGTCTGGAGGGCCTCACTTACTTACATCTGCAAAGACTCTCATTTCAAGTAAGGCCACTGCTATGGACTGAGCAGTGTCCCAAGATGGTATGTAAATTCCATGCCTGTCTGTGTGACTTGGTCTGTGGAGACGCTGTTAGTTGTGCTGTTAACCCAAAAACATCACCATTTCGGCAGTTCTAATCCACCAACAGTTTCATGGGAGAAAGATGAGCAGTCTGCTCCTGTGCAATTGATAGCCTTCGAAAAGCTGCTGGAGGGTCAGCCATGGGTCAGTTCCAAGCCAACAGAAATAACAGAGTTGTTAGTTACAAGAGGTCGTTAGTAGGATGATACTGTGAGGAGACACAGAGAGGCAAGGCTGCCATGTGGAGACAGAATCATGACATAGCTGCGAGATAAGGAACTCTCGGGCCACCCAAGGCTGGAGAAACAAGCCCTTCCCCAGAGCAAGGCTCTACCAAGAAATACCCTGAATTGGGAGTTCTGACCTCCACAACAGCGAGAGAATATGTTTCTGTTCTTACAAGTCAGCTGGTTGGTAGTACTAAGTTATAGCAGCCCTAAGGACTAATAGAGCCCCATTCAGAAGTTCTGGGTGGGCATTTAATTTGGACCCACATTCATGAAAGTCACCCGATATACCCCCCACCCCCACCCCCCGCGACCCACTGTCCTCATTTAGCAAGGATGCAGAATGGTCTAAGCCTTGCTCATGGACATGGGTGGGAAGCAATGGGACTGACTTGGCTGATCTGCTCGAGATAGCTCAGGTTTGGGATCCGGTGGGCTCTTGGGGTGCATTCTGAGAGCTCACTTTCAGGGCCCTCAGCTCCTGCCCAGACCCCCTTGCCTAGTAGCTCAGGTCACGTTCTGCCTGGTGCAGAGGCAGACCTGTGGCATTTCCCTAAGGGGCACTGAGCAAAGTCAGACCAACCAGTAAAACCAAGGTAAGCAGGGCTTACTTGTGCTGACTTACTAAACTTCAATAAACATTTTCACATATTTTTTCACCACTTCAAAAATTCTCCCGCTAGGTGTAACTGGCATCCATCTCTCTCAAATGCACAGTACCTTCCTACAGAGTCAAGGCCTCGTCACAAAGTTACAGTCTCTGACAGAGATAGAGCACCGAGTACGCATGGTAAGCATGAGCTTAACTATGCTTATTAATTCATCTGTGGAGGATCCTTTCATGTGATGTGTACAAACCATAGGAAACTTCACGACAAACAAGCCTGTGCGTATACTGTACTTTCTGGTTCTGCCCTTGGCACTAGGGGGTCACCGGCAACCCCTGTGCTGAGCAGGCAAGTGTTCTCAGAGGCAGGACTTCAGAGTGCAGACACACACACACACACACACAGCCTTCCCCGCACTCTTGGGGATAACAGGTAGTTTGGGCCAGAAAAATCAGTGCTCACCTGAGAGCAGAGGAAGTGACAGTGAACCATCTGTTCTAATGATTAAGCCCAAACCTGAGGCTCTTCAATGTAGAAGCTATGGGAGCCTTATCCCCAGCACCACCTCCTCAGAACCACCCCCTACCCCTGCCTTTGAACACCAAACACTTCCTTAAAGGTCAACACTTTCTCAGACTGCAGCCTTCAGGCTGGATGGCCTTGCTTACAGTTGATAAGGTGGACAAACGACCTTGCCAACCTCCCTGAGCCAACCGCAGACTGTAAATCAAGAAACGGAATGTAATTCCCTTCTTCCCGAAGACCCCAATAAAAAAAAACCCCATCCAAAAAAAAAAACCATCCCACCCCACCCCCCCCCCCCCACCCCCCGGGGTTGCGAATTCTCTGCTCTGTCCCTTCAGGACGGAGGATTCACTGGGGAGCTCCGCTTGAATACAGTTGTGACTTTAAACCTCAGCTCTCTTTCGCTGACTTCTTTCAGGTATTTCACTGTACTTCTCCTTCCCTTCCTCCCCTCCTCCTCCT